TGCTGACAGCTCAGAGCCTGAAGCCTGCTTCAGATTCTCTGTCTCCCTCTCTCTCTTCCCCTCTCCCCCTCATGCTCCATCTCTCTCTCAAAAATAAATATTAAAAAAAAAATTTTTTTAAAAAAAAAAAAAAAGACATAGGCCACCTACAAGCCAAGGAGAAAGGGTTCAGAAGAAAACAACTCTACCAACACCTCATTCTCGGACTTCTAGCCTCTCGACTGTGAAAAAATATACTTGTGTTGTTTAAGCCACATAGTCTAGGGTATTTTGTTACAGTGACCCTAGCAAACTAATATAACCCTATTTTAATCAAGTCCTACAATAAAAATAAAGCTTTCCTTTTGTTTCCCACTGCCTATTCACCATTTCTCTAACTGAACTAGTGGCCTTTTTATTTTTAAGTTAATTTATTTATTTTTGAGAGAGAGAGAGAGAGAGAGAGAGACCACCTGAGCTGGAGAGGGGCAGAGAGAGAGAGAGAGGGAGACACAGAATACGCAGCAAGCTCCAGGCTATGAGCCTGGAGCCACCCAGGTGCCCTGAACTGGTGTTTTATTTTTAATTTAGCTTTCTCAGAGTCTATGGGTCAAGGAAGTCAACTCAGAATTTTGAGATAGGAGGCTCATAAGGGAAGACTCCATGATAATTTACCTGCCTTGAAATTTGGAGTCAAACTTTGAACCTTGACACAATAAAGAGGGAGCTTTGGTGAAGGTAAATCCTGATAAATGACCGTGAGCAAGTCTCTTGGCCGGGAAGCAGGAATCTGAGATGTTTACAATGGTGAGCACTGGGGATTTGTCTAAGAAAAAAGACAAGAAAACATGTAAAATGTCAAAAGGGAGCCAAGCGAAAATAGTTCAAAGATCTTACAAGGAAGAAGCAGGGCTGACTAAATTCACCTTCATTATTCAGAGCTGTTTTGCAGGGAGGGCCCAGGATTCGAGGGTGGCCCCTCTCAACCCGGCGGATCGTTGCCCAGCACTGTGGATGCTGACAAACAGCCAACTTGCAGGTGGTTTCATCCCACTGGCTCTCATCTGGCAAGTCCATAGCTACAACTGGTTTAGGACAAAAGCCAATCGCACAGCTTTCCAGCCCTCTAGAGTAACAACAACCACATAATTAGAGCATATTATACATTAGCCGTGACATCCAGATCTTAACTTGGACTCAAAGCATAAAATATTTCTATTGAACCCATATACATAAGTGATGGTCATAGGATAATTAAGAATTGGGTAACAAGTGGGGCATCTGGGTGGCTCAGTTGGTCAAGCATCCAACTTGGGCTCAGGTCATGATCTCACAGCTTATGAGTTCGAGCCCCACATCAGGCTCTGTGCTAACAGCTCAAAGCCTGGAGCCTGCTTTAGATTCTGTGTCTCCCTCTCTCTCTGCCCCTCCCCTGCTTGCACTCTGTTTCTCTCTCTCTCTCTCTCTCAAAAATGAATAAATATTTTTTAAAAATTAGGTAACAAGCAACTCAGCCATTAAAAAGAATAAGGGGCACCTGGGTGGCTCAGTCAGTTACACATCTGACTCTTGATTTCAGCTCAGGTCATGATCTCATGGTTCCTGAGTTCGAGCCCTGCATCAGGCTCTGCACTGACAACACAAAGCCTGCTTAGGATTCTCTTGCTCCTTCTCTCTCTGCCCTTCCCCCATTTGCTCCCCACATTTTTAAAAAATGAATGCAATCTTGCCACTTGTAACAACATGGATGGATCTAGAGACTATAATGATAAGAGAGGTGAAAAAGTCAAAGATAAATACCATACAATTTCACTTATATATGCAATTTAAGAAACAAAACAAACGGACAAAGAAAAAAAAAGACACAAACCAAAAAAGAGACTCTTCACTGTAGACAACAAACTGATGGTTATCAGAGGGGAGGTGGGGGGTGGGGGAAGGGTGAGATAGGTAAAAGGGACTAAGAGTATATTGTGATGAGCACTGAGAAATGTATACAATTGTTGAATCACCATATTGTACACCTGAAACTAATATAACTCTGCATGTTAAGTATTTTAGAATTAACATTTTTTAAAAAGAAGCCTGGCTAACAAACAAGTATGAAAACGGCTCAGCACGAAATGGAGGGGGCTAGAGTTTTTGGAGCCAACTGACTTCACGTCTCCTACTTGGCCATTTAGTAGCTGAGTGACTTGGCACTTAAGCAATCTGAGCTTCAGGTTCTTTATCTGTAAAATGAGGATAAGCCTATTTCACAGAGTCATTATAAAAATTAGTTAATGGGTATGAAAAGATCTGGTGGGGCACCTGGGTAGCTCAGTAGGTTTAGCATCCAGCTTGAGGTCAGGTCATGATCTCACGGTTTGTGAGTTCGAGCCCCACATCGGGCTCTCTGCTGTCAGCAAAGAGCCTGCTTTGGATCCTGTCTCTCTCCCTCTCTCTCTCTCTCTCTCTCTCTGCCCCCACCCTGCTCACTCTCTTTCTCTCAAAAATAAAAATAAAATATTAAAAAATAAAAGGTCTTATAAGGAAGAAGCGAGGCTGACTAAACTCACCTTCATTATTTAGAGCTGTTTTGCATTAAAGAAAAATAAGTTTGAAAAAAGCATAGAGTTCAAAATTAAGTATTAGCATCCTTTCCTTTTCCCCTTCATTAATCATTAGGGAGAAGACACCACCATCTCCAAAAAGCCTTATCAAATTAGAACTAAGGCAGTCACAGAAGTGCTTGACATGCCTTTAGATGGCTTGAACCTTTGGAAAACGTGCTTCATTTTTCAAGATGCTCCAATTCTCAAACAGGCAACGAAAATACCCACCAGAAATGAGCGGGTTTACTCAAACATCAAGACAGTAGACTTGCAGTCACATCAGAGGCCTCTGGCTTTTCATATACTGGCTGTATGGTCCTAGGCAAGTGACTTCACCTCCCTCAGCTTGCTTCCTCATATAAAGAGGGGATGGGAAATCTCGAAGTAGAATTGAAGAGCATTAAAGGAAATGTACTTTTATGTATCATATACAATAGGGGCTCGATGAGTAGTATCATCTTTCTCTCTCTGGAAATATTTTAGGCAATCACTACCACTTGATCCCTGATAACTTTTTAAAGACAGTATCAATTTCTTCTTCTTTTTATTCAACGCATCTATTGACTGCCAAATATGTGACGGGACCTGTTACCGGCATAGAGAACAGTAATGAACAAAATAAGTCCCTGTTCTGAAGAGCCTATAAATTAGACCAAAGATAGTGACCTATTGGCATGGGATCACACCTGTCCCATGCCTTGTTTTGTCTGGTCTGCACTTTGAGCCATTTTTTTTAAATGGAAATAGTAGGGGCGCCTGGGTGGCTCAGTCAGTTGAGCGTCCGACTTCGGCTCAGGGCATGATCTCGTGTTCCGTGAGTTCGAGCCCCGCGTCGGGCTCTGGGCTGACAGCTCAGAGCCTGGAGCCTGTTTCAGATTCTGTGTCTCCCTCTCTCTGACCCTCCCCCGTTCATGCTCTGTCTCTCTCTGTCTCAGAAATAAATAAACGTTAAAAAAAAAATTTAAAAAAATAAATAAATGGAAATAGTCCACAATGTTCAGATTTCTGGTTCCTCTTAAAGATCAAAATACTTGACAACACGGTGGTCCCAATTCTGACTAGATAGCAATTGGATGGAGCTAAGCATCTCCTGGTAACTTTAAACCAGACCTATTGTTCTATCCAGATGGAGAGGTCAGCCACCAAACCCTATAATCTCTAACCAATGCTACTTCCGTTGCCCTTTATCATTGCAGTTGCTCTTGTTTTTCTCATGATAAGGAAGTAGATCTCCACGCTCGTGTCTCTGTCAAAAGCTGGAAAATTGGGATGCCTGGCTGGCTCAGTCGGTAGAACATGCGACTCTCTATCTCCCATCCTAAGCCTAAGCCCTAGGTTGCCTGTAGCGATTACTCAAAATAAATATATATATATTTTAAAGCAGGAACATTAAGGGTGACGTGAGAGCATGTTTCAAGGGAAAAAAATCATTGGTGCTCAGTGGGAATGAGGACAGTTTCTACGTACATGAAAATGATACAACTTAGAAACCACTGCAAAACCATGGTAATGTGTTTGACTGGGAAAGATGTATGATCCTCAATTCAATGAACTAAAAAATAAATACAATTTTAACAGGGTTTGGTTTTGAGTGGAAGGCACTGTCGCGTTATTCTTACACCGGCTGCTTACTGCCCTTTCGTTACCTGACAAGCCCGAACTGAGGCCCGAGGTCTAGTCATGCCCATTTCTATGTCGCCAGCGTTAGGGCTGTACTGGCAAAGAAGTCTGCGTTCAACAATTCTAGGCGACAAACATCCTTAATGCGATTACAAAATTGGGAGGGGTGAAAAGATTAAAGATGGACATCAGGTCCCGTAGAATCGAAAAAAGATACCCGCTTCGTTCCGCAAAAGGGAATTGGGAAAGTCTGGCCTCGGAAGGCCACGCTACCAAAAGCCACGCCAAACTGCCGGGACGCCGTAGCGCACTCCGAAAACCGGTCCCCTCCAGAGACCGGGTGGAAGAGGCGGGGCCCCGCCCTCCAGGCCCCGCCTTCCGTTGGAAGAGGAGCCCCGCCCCGTCCGCTCGGTCCTAGCCCCGGTCTCCCACTCTAGCCGCCGGGCAGCGCCGTTGCCAGGCAGCGGCACAGAACACTGTGGGAAAGGGACGGAAGCCCCAGTGAGCCATACTTGATCCGATGAGAAGGCTCCAGACGTGGTGGCGGTGTGAAGCAGAGAAACGAGCATGGGAAGGGACCCTGAGTCCCCGTGGGGTCGGACGGAAGCCTGGGCGGGCCAAAACCGTAGCGGCGTGGAAAGTTCAGATCCTTGGACGACTCGAGGCGGAGGCGGAGGCGGGGCTGGGTGAGGAGGGAAGCTATGGGGCGCGGGGCACTGTGGGACACCGTGTGGGCAACGTGGGGCGGGACGGAAGCCTCTTTGGGTCAGACTGCGGGGACGCGGGAAGTCCGGACGCCGTAGCGGCCTGAAGAAGACGCTTGAGACCGAGGTGCGGGCGCCGGTGGCGGCAATGGCGGAGAGGCCCGAGGACCTAAACCTGCCCAATGCCGTCATCACCAGGATCATCAAGGAGGCGGTGAGCAGCTTCGGCGGGCGGATGGGCCAGGGCCGGACGAGCGGGCAGCAGAGGAAGCAGGTCCTGGGCCGGCCGGCAGCTTTATTTACCCACGTTCTTTTTCCAGCTCCCGGACGGTGTCAACATCTCTAAGGAGGCCCGCAGCGCCATCTCCCGCGCCGCCAGCGTCTTCGTGCTGTACGCCACTTCCTGGTGAGGCAAGCTGAGCTAGCCAGAACCTAGCTGGGCTGAGGCGTAAGGAGGTCGCAGAGAGACCTGCCCCCGGAGTCCGCGGCCTGGGGCCCAGACCCCAGTAATCGTGTCCTACCCCCGTGCGGGGAAGTTCAGCCCTCATCCAGTTGTTGCAAGGTCTGAAGCAAACTAAAGCAACAAAATTACTTTGCTTTAACCCTTTTGTACGGGGAAGGGAGGGACTTAACCACGTCACAAAAAAATCCCTACATCTGAGATCTAGGCTTTTCCGTACCACCTCTGGTGCCCCTTTTCCACCCACCCCATAGGCGGCAAGAGGGTCTGACGGCCCCTGAAACCCTTTTGTCTTTTTTTTTTTTTTTTTTCAGCGCCAACAACTTTGCGATGAAAGGGAAACGCAAGACACTGAATGCCAATGACGTGCTCTCAGCCATGGAAGAGATGGAGTTCCAGCGGTTCGTTACCCCATTGAAAGAAGCTCTGGAAGGTAATGACCCTCTTCTTTGTTCAGCCAAGTAGATGTTCATCCTGTCTTACCTGCTCACCTGGCCCTGAGTCTTCTCCGCTTGGGTCCCTGTAAGAACAGGAGACAAGTATTGGACATGACTCAGAATCCATTCCGTTGGCACCGCCTCAGATCTGATTTGTATTTTTCCTTCTCTGCCCCAGCTTTTCCAGTTATACAGTGGAGTTAGCTGCTGCAGTCTGCTTGGTTCAGCCCTGCCTCCTAACCCCCACCTTCCTCCTTACAGCCTACAGGCGAGAGCAGAAAGGCAAGAAGGAAGCTTCAGAGCAAAAGAAGAAGGACAAAGACAAAAAAACAGATTTGGAAGAGCAAGACAAGAGCAGGGAGGAGGACAATGATGAAGACGAGGACAGGCTGGAAGAAGAAGAGCCGAATGAGGAGGAGGAAGTGGACAACTAACGGGATGGGAAGACTGTGGCACGCTGGAAAGTACCACCCTGACATGTGGTACGTTTGTGAGAAGCTTTTCCCTGCTGGGCAGACTAGTCTTAGCCAGAAAAGCCTGAGAAGATCAAAATAAAAACTGACGACTGAATCATCATCAAAACCAGCACTTCCGTCAGAGCATCTGAGTAGCAGGGTCCTGTGTTGCTAAATCAGTCTGAAGGTAATGACTTTTAGACGAGAGGGATTCTGGGCGGCTAATGTAATTAGTCGATCTGATCTCTCCTGTTTCCTTACATACGTGGTTAGGCAGTTTGGGATCCCCAGTTCCCTTCTGACCCCACCCCCAAAAAAGTAATAATAACTTCCATGCTGCCTGCTGTGTTCCAGATCACAGAGGCAGTCAAAGCTCAGGAAAAATTGGGGCTTTGAGCATGGTCAGCCGGTTGTGACTGTACAGGATATGGCAATACTAGCTTATTATTACAAGTGGTTAGAATGGTTTAGCTTTAGGAAAGTACTAAAAGACTATAGGAGAGTAATGAAATCTGTTGTCTCTTCACTTTAAGGTAACATTGAATTTTGATTTCCACAGACCCCACTGGCTTGCAGCCCCTCTATATTGCCTGGTAGGCATTTGGCCTGCGGGGGTGGCTGGAGTTAGTCAAGCAAGTGTGCTAATATCTTAGCACACTTACCAAACAAACAGAAAACCCCCACAAAAACAAAATGGGAAAAAAACACAGATGGTTTAGTCTTAGTTGCACCTCGCTGCCTGCCACTGTATCGCTTTATTGTCACCTGCTGGAAGGTATAAAATTCCAGGCTTTCTCTTCTTGTAGTCCATTTCCCAAGCTTGTGGCTTTAATTTTTTCATCCTTCCAATTCCTGACAAGTTCCAAACTTTCTTCTATGCACATTTGGTCCCTCTGTGCTTCTCCCTTCCTGTCTCTCTTCTGCCTCTCTTCTGTTCCCCATTCCACTTTCTCTCTCTCTCCTTTTCTCACATCTGCCAACCCAGAAACTTTGATAACCTGCTTAAAGGGCAGAAATTTGATGGTGCTCAGGAATCTAATCCCCACGCCCAAAAGCCAACCCCTTTAACTGCTTCTAAAGTAACTCTGTTGATCGTATTTTTTTTTTCCCTTGACATATGGTGCCCCAAGCACTTTTTTGTTTGTCTCTAAGTTGAGCGCTTGGAGGTTGACAGGTAGTGAGGTGTATGTAGTTTGACACTGTTAATTTGTTAAACGAATACAGCCAAAAGTTTGTTGACAACTGAGTGAAGACTATTGAGGAAAATTATAATGCTTTGTATAAATAAAGAACATTCTTGTTAAAAGTGGTGACTCCCTTTCATCCTGCTTGTTTATAGTATGCTTTTGGGGAGGACCCACTGATCCTGCCTCAAAGAGTTCTTGACATGTGGACCCGCCCAGATCTTTGTAAACACGGGATCCTGCGTTACCTTGGATGGCCAGCAGATGCTGCTCTTCGACCACAACAAGAGGTTTTCATGGCTCTGCTGGGCAACCTATGCGTACTAGTTGCTCAATGACTCAACATTTATGGAGTCCCTACTATGAGGCTGGCACCATTCTAAATGCTTTCAAGTATAAACTCTGAAACTCTATCAAGGAGAACTATTACCTTTGTGATCTCAGCCACAACGCTATATTCTCTAATGTACAGAACTTTTTAAATCATGAATTTATAAATAACATTTCATAAAGGTACAACCCCGGTAGTCACTAGATCTGGTGGTTTTTCCTTTTCCACAAAAGAAACATCCTTTCTTAACTCCCATGAGCACCACTCAGCTAAACTCTCAAGTCCCATCTAGACTCCTGTGGCTTCCTTTGAGCTCAGTTTTTTGCCTCATCTCTGCTTGCCCTAGCTTCTGTGTACTGCTTGCCAAGTGGATCTTCTTGGAACATAGCTGTATTCCAGCCCCTCACTGCGTCCCGTTAAATCCATACTTAAACCTGGTACACAAAACCTGCTTACGGAGGGATTGCCTTACCATCTATTCCAATCCATTTCTACTTTATTGTGTAAGTCTCCAGTCATTGAATCCCCAAAAGAACTCTCCTTGCACATGGTTTTAGTTAGCACATTTTGACTACCTAAGCCATGTTTCCTGACAGCGGGAACTATGACTTAAAACTACAGAAGTGGGGCCTAGCAGACTCAGTTGGTAGAGCATGTGAGTCTTGACCTCAGGGTGGTGAGTTCAAGCCCTGTGCTGGGTGTAGAGATTACTTAAAAGAACTGGGAGGAATCTGAGGTTATCGACCAGTTTTTTCCAAGCACACCCTAATCATTCCTGTAGGCGTATCCGAATTTTGAAGGTTGCTTACTAGGTTAAGGCAAAAATCTCATCTTTTGTAAGCCACCTCCCTTCATGCCTAGAGATTCTGATCTGGATTTGGAGGGTGAGAAGGTTTTCATCCTTACCTGGGTAAAATCGCATTTGCAGGGACATCTAGTGGGCTCAGTCAGTGGCACGTGCGACTCTTGATCTTGGGGTTGTAAATTCAAGCCCCATATTGGGTGTAGAGATTACTTAAAAAATAAAATAAAATCAGGGTACCTGTGTGACTGGGTCAGTTAAGCCTCTGAGTCTTGATATTGACTCAGGTTCCTATCTAGCCCCAGGTGGAGCACCTGCTGAGTGTGGAGACTGATTGGGATCCTCTCTCTTCCTCTCTGTCCCCATCCCCAGCTCGTTCTCACTCTCTCTCAAAAATAAACTTAAAAATTGTTTAAAAATTACGTTTGCAGCCTAATTCTATTTTTGCTGATGGGAAATGGAGGCTCATCAGAGAGAAGTGACTTGCTTAAGATCTTACCACTAGTTTATGAAAGCTAGGATCCTGTTCTAGTGGTCCATAGCCTTCTATTCCTCTTTTTTTCTTTAATAAACTTTTTATTTTAGAACAATTTTAGTTTTCAGAAAAGTTGCAGAGTGCAGAGAGTTCCCATATAATCACCCAACTTTGCCTCATGTTGACATCTTACATAACCATGGTACCTTTGTCAAAACAGAAAAATACCAAATACCAAACTATTCGTATTTCACCACTTTTTCCACTAAAGGCCTTTTTTGATCCAGGATCCATTCCAGAACACTACATTGCATTCAATGAACCAATTTTATCTTTCAGTTGAGATGAGACTCACAGAACATAACATTAATCATTTTTAAATGACCAATTCACTGGCATTTAGCACACTCACTGTGTTGTGCAAGCACCACTTCAGTCTAGCTCCAAAACGTTTTCATCACCCCAAAATAAAACCCTGCACCTGTTAAGCAGTTACTCGCTCATGCTTCCCTCCCTCCAGTCCCCAGCAGCCACTAATCTCTTGCTAGCACTTGACAGCGTTTAGCACCATGCCTTGTACCTCCCTGGGAAGTACTCACAATAGTAGGTTTTGAGGGGTTTGTGGGGTTTTTTTTGTTATTTTTTATTGAAGTATAATATGCCTACTAAATGGTGCAGATAAATGTAAATGTAAAGTTGGATGAACTTGCACAAACACATCCATGTAACTTGCACTCAGATCAGTAAACAACATGACCGGCACCCTAATAAACCCCTTTGGTCTCCCTTCCAGTCGCTCTCCTCCTCAATTGTAATCATTATCCTAACTTCTTTTTTTTTTTTTTAATTTTTTTTTTTCAACGTTTATT